ATGCTCTTCCCCATGTACACCGTAGCTTCAGATGTGCTCCTGAAGATGACGAGGGTCGAGCCCCACGAGATGTTGAAGGCGGCCGCACAGTGGAGTCAGGAAACCCTAAACCCTAAACCCTAAACCCTAAACCCTAAACCCTAAACCCTAAACCCTAAACCGCTTCAGGCGCTAGGAAGCCGAGAGACGCTTGCTTACCACTTCTGTGAGAGTGAACGCCAAACAACCCCCCCCCCCCCTCTCTCTGTCTACTTCAAAGTCTCCGTGCACCACTGACGCAGCATAGTTTAGGGTTTAGGGTTTAGGGTTTAGGGTTTGGGGTTTGAGGTTTAGGGTTTAGGGTTCAGGTTTAGGGTTTAGGGGGGAGGTGGCACACAATTCTAAAGATATCTGCAGTCTAAAGCACTTGTCCCTCAGATGTTGTACTGCCTGGCGACAGCGCCTTCCTGTGATTCACGCGGGCGGGGTTGTCCGACTTGTATGTGAATCTCCGGGGCTATCCTAAACCCTAAACCCTTAGCCCTAAACCCTAAACCCTGATCCTCCAGTAAGTAGAGTGGCGCATGACCTGGGATTTCCGCGAAAGATCTTCGCACTTGTAGAGGTTTAGGATGTGAGGGTTACGATAGGGTTTTCGGATAGAGCTCCTTCTGGGGTGTTAGGAGATAGCGCCTTGTGAAGGCTTTTGGGATACTAAGTATGGGGCCCCTCGCGTCGTTTAGGGTTTAGGGATTAGGGTTTAGGGTTTAGGGTTTAGGGTTTCGGGTTTCGGGTTTCGGGTTTCGGGTTTTGGGTTTAGGGTTTAGGGTTTCGGGTTTAGGGTTTAGGGTTTAGTTGCAGGCCAGAGGTGAGCTGGTCGTCTTCAGCGACGACTTGGGCAAGGCTGCCTTCGTTTCACATCAGTGGCTCGCCAGAGACCACCCGGACCCCGATTTCAAGCAGATGCCCGTCTTACAGAATCTGAGCAGCTGAGTGAGTACACTTTGACACTTTTTTGGCATACTCTTAATCATCTCTACAAAAATAGTCTCTAAAAAAGCTACTAAAGGTGTACACTTTTTTGGGGGCTTATGAACTCAGCAACGAAGGAATGCTGTGACGCGCATTCTGAACAGCTCTGGATTTGTTTCCTTGGACTTCATTACAGAATCCCAGGTGCAAACTGCCAAGCCTCTCCCCATGACGGAGTTCCAGGTGCTGACGCTGCATTTCTGGTACGACTACTTCTCATGCCCGCAGCCGCAAGCAAGCGTGTCCGGCGAGACGGAATGCCACCAAGCCAGCGCCATCAGCAGCATACCCAGCTACATCAATGAGTGCGAATTCTTCTTCGCGCTGTGCCCGGTGCTCGACTGCCCCTGGCAGGGGAAGGTGCTGACCGCAGCGACCTGGAGCAGCACCTTGGGGACGAGATGAAGCCTAAAATTGGGGGTCATATACCCTATACTACTATGATTCCTGTTAAGGTGTATGAACCATAAACGGTCATATATCCTATACTACTATGTTTCCTGTCAAGGTGTTTGAAGCACAAACCCTTTTAGGGTTCATGTCGTCCCCAAGGCAGGGGGTGGTGCCGCCTAGAACGAGCCGCACGTGAGCTGTCGGCAAACAGCACCTGGATTCTCATTCAGAGCGATGCCGCGATGGAAGCTTAGTAGGTTAGTGGTACCCTTTACCCTTTTTTTGGGTTTAGGGTTCCCTTATCAAGTGTTTTTTGGGTTTAGGGTTCCCTTATAAAGCCAACCCAAAAAAGGCTGCCCTTATTATAATATGGTTACTGGGCTACTATTATTATAATATGGTTGCTGGGCTACTAAGGAAGTTGTTGGCACAGCACTGTCCTTTCCCAGCGGCATTGTCGGGGAAGGCGAGTTCGGCAAGGCGGAGGATCGGCAAAAACTTGCCCCGGCAACTACATCCTCCTTGGGAATTGTTTTTTTTTTTTATTTTTCAGTTTTGTTTATATAAAACTCAAGAGGATATTTAAAAATGTTGTGTTTATCAAGGTTCTCAGGGGAGTAGAGGTATTGCGGCAGATCTTGGTCAATAAGCTGCATCGTTGCCTGCGTGTGGGGGACTTGCCCGGATCCTTGGGGACGAAATGAAGCCTAAAATTTGGGGGTCATATACCCTATACTACTATAATTCCTATTAAGGTGTATGAACCATAAACGGTCATATACCCTATACTACGATAATTCCTATTAAGTGGTGTATGAACCATAAACCCTTTTAGGGTTCATTTCATCCCCTGAAGGATTCCGGCGCCACTTCAACCTCCAGGCGGTTCACCTGCGGGGGCTCGAGATTGAGCCAGCTGCCGGCGTGCTGCCCAGCTCCGAGGCCCACAGTGGTAACGATGCAGCTTCGGGATTCTTGGGAAGAGTTTTTTTGAGTTTTTGGGGGTTTAGGGGTTGAGGGTTTGAGGGTTTGAGGGTTTGAGGGCTTGAGGGTTTGAGGGTTTGAGGGTTTGAGGGATTGAGGGTTTAGGGTACTGTAATTCCTCTAAGAAACAGCTTAAATCATTTTTTTTGCTAGGGTTCCAAGTTCAAAAAGAGGCAGCGGCTGAGTTCCTACACCAGAACGGCTTAAGGAGGGTCGGTGAGGCCGACAGGGCCGGGTGGTGGCCTCTGCACTATGCAGCCTTGGCCGGCCATGCAGAGGTGCTGAGAGGGCTGCTGGAGAAGCGCGCCGACGTGAACCGGCGCACATGGAAGGAGGAGCCGTCGCTAGGCTTTCCCCTTTGGATGTCGGCGTTGGATCTGGCCGTGTTCTATAAGCATCGCGAGGCTACGGAGCTGCTTCTCACGGCAAGAGCTCATCTTCAGGGAGGAGCCGCGCCGGCCGTCTTCGTGGCGTCCAACACAGACAACGCGGAAGCCATCCGGCTCTTGTGCGCAGCGGGTGCTAAGCCGATGGGCCGAAACATGATTGGGGCCACTGTCTTGCAGTGTGCAGCAGGCAATGGAGCTGCAGCAGCCTTGGAGGAGATCCTATTGCAGCTGAGTAGCGCAGTGGTACCCTTTGGCTTTTTTTTGGTTCTGGGTTCCCTTACAAAAGCAACCAACCCCAAAAAAATGGGAGTCCTCATTGCAATATGAGGGTGTAGGGTCTATAGGGTTTAGGGTTTAGGGTTTAGGGTTTAGAGTTTAGGGTGTAGGGTCTATAGGGTTTAGGGTTTAGGGTTGGTACTGGGCGACTAAGGCAGGGACGCCCAGGTCGCCTTGACCTTTCCCGAGCGCTCTTCGACGCCGCATTCTTTCGGGGTGGCTCGGCAAACCTGGTTCAGCGGCTCATTGGTCTTCGCGCCGACGTAGACTTTCAGATGAATGTGGCACGCGACTTCAGGGCACCTTAGTAGCTGAGTGAGTACACTTTACACTTTTTGGGATACTGTAGCCCCCCAATGGAACTGAGAGTATACACTTTTTTGGGGCTTATGAACTCAGCAACTAAGGCAGTGGGCCGGTTGATGATTGCAACGAAGTCCTTGCAGTACCAGCTGGGCCGGACGACTGCTTTAACCACCCTGGCCTATCATCTGCAAGGCAGCACGCCGCCCTAAACCCTAAATCCTAAACCCTAAACCCTAAACCCTAAACCCTAAACCCTAAACCCTAAACCCTAAACCCTAAACCCTAAGCCCTGCAAGGCAGCACGCCACTGATGCAGTCCATTCGGTCGGCTCAGTTCGAGGCCGCAGCGGCTCTGATCGCGGCCGGCGCCAGACTCGACCTCCGGAACTCCAGGAGCCTTTGTCATAGTGGGGTAACATAGGGTTTAGGGTTTAGGGTTTAGGGTTTGGGTTTAGGGTTTAGGGTTTAGGGTTTAGGGTTTAGGGTTTAGGGTTTAGGGTTTAGGGTTTAGGGTGGTAACATTTTACATGATTAAGGGTACTTAAAACTCCATAAGGAACAGCGAATGTTCACGCTCACTCGTATCCCGACCATGAACGCCAGGAAGTGGACCGCCTCGGACTTTGCCCGTGGCCAGTCGATCCCTCGCTTCCTCCAGCTGGGCCTAGAGGGGGATCCGTCTGAGTGCCGAAACTTTGTGGTGCTTTACTGTAAGTTTATATGAAGCAGGGTTTGTATTACTGCTTTTGGTGAGTGTATATAAGGTTCCTTTTTAATATTGGTGAGTGTATATACCTGGTGTCCTTTTGGGGGTACAAGAAATATATACCCTACTTCATATCCTTACTTGTTTTGGGTTTATTGGGTATCTTATTAAGGCAGCTGAAAGTTTCATTTATAGCTACCCTCCTGAGTGCAGCCAAGGAAAGGTGTCCTCTCTCGCAAGTGTCGACGGCTACGTCGAGGTTGCTTTTTAAGGTCTTGACCTCCGAATTGCTTTTAAGCAGGTGCGACTCTCCGGTCCTTTTGAGGCCATCAATCTCATCCCTGAGCGCCTGTCGGATTTCGAGTTTAGGGTTTAAGGTTTAGGGTTTAGGGTTTAGGGTTAGGGTTTAGGGTTTCTCAGATTTGGGTTCAGGATTCAGGGGTGTGTTTGTTTTCAGGGTTCAGGCTTCAGGCGGCCACAGCTATAACTAGCTGGGGATGAAGATCCGATTTCCAAGATCAAGATGCTGGTAAGAGCGTTCAACGTCCCATACATCCCCGAGACCCTACGTCGCAACGCGGTGAACCCTAAACCCTAAACCCTAAACCCTAAACCCTAAACCCTAAACCCTAAACCCTAAACCCTAAACCCTAAACCCTAAACCCTAAACCCTAAACCCTAAACCTCACAGCCTAAGGCTCAAGGATGCCATGTCATCCTTGAGGCCGTTTTACACACGAAACATAACTTGCATGATCATGGGACTTAGGAAGTAGAGTTATAAGCACCCGAAACCCTAAACCCTAAACCCTAAACCCTAAGTTATATGTAATTATAAGTATATATAGTTACCTGAATTCTAGGCCTAGTTACTAAGTCCCATGATCCTCCAAGTACAAACCCAAATTTCGAAGAGTGCGCGATGGGGTTTAGGAGACCGACCTCGGGCGCTGCTGCTCAGGCTTGGGGAAAAGAAGTAGATGTTGCGTGTAGGGCCCAGGGTTTGGGGTTTAGGGTTTGGGGTTTAGGCGGTTTAGGGTTCAGGGTTTAACACAAGACTCTCCTCTGCAAAGTCAGATTCGATGTGGGGCGGATCGTGCTGGCTTCAATAAGGGAGATGCAGGCCCCAGAATGATAACAATGATGACCCGCTGTCTGAATACGCAAGCTAGCTACTATAGAGCCCCTCAAGAGAAGGGGTCTGTTAACTAGTGATCTACAAGAACAGGAAAGGGGAAGTTGTGGAGAACTCATCCCACAACCCGAAAAGAGAGCAGCCCAGATATGGAACCCCAAACCCTCACCCCTAACCCCTAACCCCTAAACCCTACTTTGCTACAATCCGGAAGGTCTTATCCCTCCTGTCGGAGATGACGTCGAAAGGTCGCACTTGTGGGAGCTTCGGGCTTCGACCCTAAACCCCTAAACCCGAAGGGTTTCGGGGTTAGGGTTTAGGGGGTTTGGGGTTTAGGGGGGCCTCCAAGTCCTATTCCCCCTACACCCTCCGCGTTTGAATGGTCGGCACACCCTGCTCAGGTCGATCAGGTCAGCCTTGGCACTGGCAGGTACATCGTAGTTGATGTCGCGCCAGCATGAATATGAGGGGCATGGAGAAAAACAGGAAACGGCGTTTCTGTGTGCAAAGTTGTCCCCAAGAGTATCGAAACGAAGCTCGATTTTTTTCACAGCCCAGAACTGTACACCGAAACATCCTTGGCTTGGCGAACAGTGAACAAACTGCAAACCAATCATAATCCAGAAACATTAAAAGACCAAACCCTAAACCTACAAAGCATCAAAGAGCCTTGGCTCATGGCCAGGCGTGGCCCACTTTCGCCTCGCCTGCAGGGCATTGCTGTGAGCTTGTGCAGCGAGGCAAAAGCAGTTTAGGGTTTAGGCTGTAGGCTTTAGGCTTTGGGTTTTTTTGGGTTTAGGGTCCTGACCCTAAACCCTAAACCCTAAACCCTAAACCCTAAACCCTAAACCCTAAACCCTAAACCCTGTGCGTTTGTTTTTTTTTGTGGTGGATCGGGCTGCGGTCTCCAGCCCTGGCAGCCCCCATCCCTGGCCCTGAAATCTCAGTCAGACCCATGATCTCCATAGTTGTTCCTGTTTGAAAGTTTAACCAACTTGATATTTAGTAGTTCCTGTTTGTAGCTTTACCAACTTGACATTTAGTAGTTCCTGTTTGTAATTTTGCCAACTTGATATTTAGTAGTTCCTGTGTGTACTTTAATTCACCCACTTGATATTTAGCAGTTCCTGCTTGTACTTTAACTTAACCAACTTGGTATTGAGTAGTTTAAGAGCCTGGAACGTAACCCCAAAAAGGAACTACAATTGAGACGATGGGTTCAATGACGCTTTGCAAGCCCAGGGCCCGCATTCTACCCGTGATGCTGAGCCCTACTGAATCCGAGGCCGTCAATCGAGTACCTTGTTGGGGTCCTTCCTTATTCTTAAGGGGATCCTACTATTGGGGGCGTCTAAATTAGGGGGCCCCCCCCCCCCCCCCTCCCCCTATCATCGTAAGCCCCAAAGCTCCAGACCTGTATGCCCGGAAGAGCGACATGCGACTTGAGCTTCGACCCCG